ATATATTTATATCATCAGCACAAACCCAGTCTTACTAAAATTCTTAGCATTCCACAGTATTAATAACAAAACACATAATGAATCTTTTGATGATACAGATGTTGTCAATCTGTGCAGTGTCAGAGGCCTGTTTGTTTTAATGCATTAGTCCTTCTAATCTAATGCAACAGCTGGAAATCCCATTCTTCATTATGGCATGCTTTTTGGAGGAGGTCAGCAACTTTTCATCCTGGGTTCGTACACTGAAGCAGTCGCAGACATTTGACTGCAGAGTTCATATAACCGAAAGTGACCTGCATCTGGTAGAATCTGCAAATAATTTACAGTGTTTGTTTTATCCAGTTCATCCTGTTTCATCCTGGTATGTGAGTATTAGGAAGTCGCACCACAGATGTTTTTGGATGTGTTACATGATACTTTTTGGTGTCCTGAGGTAAAACTTTTGCTCCTGAGGAAAATGAATTATTACAGTGAATAGCTAAGCTTAACAGATAAATGTGGTGTGAAGGAATATACCTTAAATCAGCGGTCCCCAACCTTTTTTGCTCCACGGACCAGTTTATGTCCGACAATATTTTCACGGACCGGCCTTTAAGCCTTTAAGGTGTCGCGGAGAAATACAACAAAATAAAACCAGTACCGGTACCAAAAAAAAGAAGATTTACTCATAACACACGGGAAAAGACCCAGGGAAACTGAGTTAATGGTAAAAACGATAAAAAAATAACACGAAAAACTGATTAAAAACCCTCAAAACCATAAATTTCACACCCGAGCCTCAACTCTCGTGGCCCGGAACCAAACGACTCCGTGGCCCGGGCGTTGGGGACCTTAAATGACCATGCTGGTTTTTTTCTTCAAGTCAGCTAATCCCTCAAAATGATCAGAATAAATAAATTTGTCCTTTTCCAGTTTGTGGTTTTCAATGCCAAAGCTTGAAATAGATTTTTTTTTCCAGTCATTGTGTTGTAGATTTTTTGGGATTGTTGTCGTTTTGGCCAACTTTTAACTGACTTTATAATACGTTGGTATAGAGAGGATCTCATGAACCTAATGACTGCTCGGGTCCTGTGGCTGCAAAAAAGTCCAAATCATCACCTTCACCACTGTGCTTGACAGTAGGTATGAGACGCTTGTGCTGATATGCTGTGGTTGGTTTTTGCCAAACATGGCGCATCGTGGCCAGACATTTCCACTGTGGTCTGATCTGTCCAAAGGACTAGCAACCTGCCCCAGCTTCTGCTTTTATAGAGACTTTTATACTCGCTGACTATCAGTTAATCAAGTACCTTTGATTAGCACCACCTGGAAGCTGCGTACTCTTATTTCACATTGAAGCAGTGAGGGTGCTCTTATTAGTTTGGCAATCGAGCAACATTGAAATATTCTTTTTTTCTGGTTAAAACAATACATTTACAATTTGCAGATTCTATTTGATTCAGTTCTTGACATTTGAAGTTTTGGGATAAGTAAGAAACTCTTTGACATTTAAAAGAAAAATCCATCAACTCAAAGCACAGATCACCCTTACCCATAGACCCTGTATGGACTGTCATGTGACCTTTAACCATTAGACCTGCAGGAAACTGAGACATCTGCTTTTTGTTTGCAGCCCATCCACACATGAAGCAATGCCATACCATTTAAAAAAAAAAAAAACCTTAAAGTTCACACTGACATAAAAGTACATCAATCACAGTAGCTTAGTTTGCACTAACCATGTGTCAGTGATCGTGTTAAACATGTGATACACTTTATGGCCCAAAGCATATGGACATACCAACTGTATCACTATTTATTCTGTTCCTGGCCACCATCGTCACACCAACTGTATACAAAGGAAAGGCGAAATCTGAGTATGCTTTTGTCCATAAAGTGTATCTACTTATGTCAATGCTAATTAAACCTGTCGGGTCTCTGCCCTAATGGCCAACATTGTATGTTGTTGTGTTTTGTTTTCAGTCTATTTTTGTTGAAATTTTGTTGTAATTCACCTAAGAAGGATGTGCTTGGTTCAACTAGCCTGTGGGCTTTTTGTGCATTTTTACTCTGCATTACATCAGTAAAACAGTGTTTTATAACTGTTTAACGACAGTTGCTTAGCCTCTATGTTGAATATGGCACATCCTTTTGAAGAGTGTATCTGTACTAACACCCTATAATGTATTACGCAGTCTTTGTTACAATGATTTTTCACTTTGTCACATCACCTTCTTCACCAAACTGTGCACTCTAACCCATCTTTACCTTGCAGGCAGACACCCAAAGCTAAAGCTATCAATAAGTCTAAACAGAGCAGCCCTGGCAAAAGGTAATCTGAGAATGAACAACGAAGTGGGGAAATTCAACCTGTCTGCAAAGACCAACACACATGCTCATAAAGTCAGCCAGATTAGCCTAAAAGCAGCCAAAATATTGAATTTTCCCCTCTTCAAAAATAGAAAAACTGTCTAAACCA